GAAGTTTGTCCACTAAGATCTGTTCATGACTTGTGGAGAACGCAAATGTCTTTGGCACTCAGGGTGGAATAGCTCCTGATGGGGTGTATAATTCTTACAAATTATTTATTTATTGTATTTAATTATCATAATTTGTAATTCTATAGAGTGCTCACAAAAGTTGCTGTGCTCTGTCCCGTTTCAAGCAACAAGGGTGGTGCCCAGAAAATATGTGTTTGTGAGATTATGTCGTAAGGCAGCTGGAGTGGTTTCCTTTTCCATCTCCACGCAGTCATCATTTTCAATTAAAAATGTATGTGCACCCCTCCAGACCATGGGTACCAAGGCACTCCCCCCAGCACTCTTTGAGAACAGAGCTGCTGGTGAGATCCAAAATCGTATATGTAGAATGTAAAAAGAAAAGTCTAAAACACAAACCACAGGAGAGCTCAGACTGATTGCCAAGAGTTGAGAGGTCTTTGCTTAGATTGAGTGTAATAACATGTACCTACCTTATTATTACTGGTATGCCCTGGTAAAAGCCTCTCATTGCAAGGAAAAAACACCTGCATAATTTTTCCAGGCCTGATATTTTTCTTTAAATCACGTGGTTGTTTTTCAATCTGAAAGGTTTCCAAGGGAATAGGGAGGAGAAAGGAGAGGAGGAGAATGTCCCCTTCCTCTCTGCTTGCAGAAAAAATCATCTTGTCCAGTACAGGAGTGCTAAACTTGCTGTTAAAATCAAAGGGATATTTGGGAAACATCAGCGTTCATTCTAAACAAGAATATATGAAATTCTGTAGGTACAAGTGGTGGACTATTGTTGGAAAAGAATACTTAGAATTCATACAGATTTTAAGTAGGGAACTACTAGTGGGGTCTTTTAAAGTACAAAAACCAAACCGACAGAACAAAAACCCTAAATGCCATCACAAACAAAAACTTCTCCATGGGTTGCATTGGAAGTAATGAACCTTTGGTAAAATCACTAGAGTGTTAACGGCATGTTTGTAGTCTATGGAAAGACATAAGTGGGCAATAAAAGCTGTCCTCCAGCTGGTGTTTGGATGGGAATGAGGAAGATAAAAGACTGAAGCAAATCAACCGGTGAGAAAGGGAGAATGATCTATGGTGAAAAAAAAGTCTAGCAGAGCAACTGCTGAAGCTTTACAAAGAAAGCCATGTATTAAATGTGGTGAAATAGCTGTTAGTGTACTTCACTGGTGTATTTTCTTTAATAAGAATATGGATCTAAAGGCAGTGGAAGCAGACTGACTCCTTTAAGATGAAAAATCTGAACTGAAAGAAACTTGAGTCCACTTCAGAACAGGAATAGAGGGGAATAATACTGTGCAAGACCAGTAAGGTCTTCATGTGAATATCACCAAAGAGAAAAATATCCCTTGAGAGAAAAGGGGTATGTTTTGCTGTGGGGACAAATTGTGAGCATGGGCAGGGAGCTTCCTGGCTTGACACTGGCCTCAAGAGATGGAACAAGAGAGCGTTTAATAAAATTCTTTAAAGTCTTGCTTTTCAAGGATTTTTGAGCCAAAAGCAACCTTTTCTGTCTCAGTTCCCAGCTGCTGATGGCATCTGAAATGATCAGTTAGATACTGTTCCCATTATAGAATGATCTGGTCTCTTCTAATGATCCGTGGCTGGTCTCTTCTCCCAAATAACAAGTGATAGAACAAAAGGTAATGGCCTCAAGCTGTGCAACAGGAAGATTGAGATTGGATATTAGGAAAAATTTCTTCACTGAAAGGGTGATCAGGCATTGGAACAGGCTGTCCAGGGAAGTGCTGGAATCACCGTCCCTGAAGTGTTTAAAAACCATGTAGATGAGGCCCTTGGTGACTTGGTTTAGTGGTAGACTTGTCAGTCCTGACATAACATTTGGATTTGAGGATCTTGAGGGTCTTTTCCAACCTAGTTGATTCAATCATTCTATTATTAGATGATAGTAGACCAAATAGTGACATAAATTTGCAAATGACAGTCAAAAAGCCCTTTACAACTTAGCCTTTGTCTGGTATCCAAAAATATTCTGACAAATATAGAAGTATCTGAAAGCCTAGGGCTTATTTGTTATTCCCCTTATTCTGTTTACATCCTGCCTGTGATGGCATGGGAGTCCTGCATCTGCTGAAGATCTAGGCATTGAACTTAAGTTCACCAATTCAATGGAAGCAGAGTGGGTCTTTTTGCCTTCACTGTTTCTCATTGTCAAAAGCCCAGCTTGTTCTTGCTTAGGCCACAGCCCTTGCTTAACACAGTACTAATTTGTGTGGTTTATATTATGGTTCGCTTAAAAGAGCATACTTGTTTTAACATAGGGTCATTAGTAGACCAAAGTTATTTCCCAAACTGATGGACCATCTCCTTCTTTCCTTTTTAGTGCTTTGAATAACTCAGAAATGACTGATCTGTCTAGCAGCTCTGTAGAGAAAGTTTATGTAGAAAATTCTGCTCCTGGCCAGTAGTAACTTTAAAGTTGGGTAGTGTTCAGAAAAGCATCATTCATAAAAACAGCATTAATGAAAGCTGTAATGAGACCAAAGTAAAGGGAACAATTGTGATGTTGGTACTTCTTTTTGTGTGTGTGTGCTTACTTTAAGCAAGCAGAAGGTCTTTTTTTAACTTCACAGTGCAAACGAGCTTACTGATGTGTCTGAATGGGCTTCGGGATTCAGCAGATAAACAGAAATTAGCGATATACTAGAAGCTGGACTGCAGTTTGATTTATGGCAAAAGCAGTCTTCAAACAGATTTAGTTTTAGTGTGGATTTTTGTCTTCTCATGAAATGGGACCTGAGAATTAGAAAACCATATGTGATGACAGAGAAGGAAAGTGCAATTAATCAAAACCACTTTTGTTCGGGTCTTCAAAGCCTTTCTGCCACCTTTTCCATTTTTATCTGTTCCTGTGTTTTCAGTTTAGCAGGAATTTATACTCTGAAATGAACTACAGTAGCAGAGTGACTTGTTAAAGATCAAATGCTAACACATTCCTAGGTGCTTTCTCCTCAGGAATGCTGAATGCTTCTAGAATAGAGATATTTTATTTTTTTTAAATATTGCACATAAATTAATTATATTTCAAATATAATAAATAGTCTTGTATTAAAAAAAAAAAAAAAAGAAAAAACACAACAACCACAAACAAAACAACACTTCCCCCCCTTAAAAAAACCCAAAACCAAAACACCACCAAAACCTCAGCAGCCACTCCCCTGATGAGCTGGTATACTTTTTGCTACTTGAGATACTGAAAAGGATCCAAAAATGTCACTTTTGAAATGACCTGATTGGAGAAAATTTGATGAACCAACCAGTTAGACAAAAAAAAGTTTATGACTATATTGCTGCTTCATACAGAGAAAGAGTAAGCAAAAGCAGTGTGTTGAGCCCATATCAGTGGATTAATACCACACACAATTATAGAACAAAAATATTGGTATTAAAAAGATTTCTTTTCCAGCTGTGTTGCCTTAGCCTACAAACGTGCATGAGTAAAGGGGGGTTTTGTTAAGTAAAGTTCACTGTATTGTTTTGACTAAAATGTGTAGTATGGGGCTATCTTACTTGTCTAAATAGCAAAGGATTGGCATTTCTATAGAATTTTCTGTGTATTTACTGTTGCTTACATTTATCTTCTCTGTGAATTAGTATGCCACTTCCGTTTGAGCAGGGAAGGCAGTGTTTCACCTCAAAGGTATTTGCAACTTTTCTGTAGGGTGGAGGTTTATCAGCATTAAATAAAGGGAGATAATGATAAACAATTTTTCATCTTTTCCCTGAAAGATGCTATGAAAGATGAAAGAGGAAAACTAACAGAAAGATTAACAGCCTCACACAGACTATTTTTTTTTTTTTTTTGCAAAGCTACTGAGCGCTGAATACATACTGAATGCCTTGACCTTGTTTTGAAGAGCTGCATCGTTGCAACAGAAGCACCATCCTGTGCTGTCCAGTATCTCTCATTGCTTGGTTTTTTCTCTGAATTTCCACTTGGATCTTAATGTCACTTTTTGGTTTACAAGGTTTAGTATGGCTGCACTAATGTCAGGACACAGAGTAAACACGGTTTCTCTTGCCTGTGGTTACAAACAAAAGGTTATGGAAATGTTGAGGGGATTTTAGCATACTTGAAAAAGAATGCTAAAATTCTTGTAGCATTCTAAAAAACTCCACAGGAATAACTACTCTCATAAAACTGTGTTGCTGTAGCTTGTACGTTACCAAGGTACATATATCAATAGAGGAGAAGAAAAAGCAGAGGACTGTTTCTTCATTACCCCTGGCAACAGTATCATCTGTGCCTTTTATTTGCATAAACGCATTTTTCGTACTCCATAAAAGCTTGTGACTATTCTACAGTTCTAAAAACCTGAGCACGAATGGAAGTCTGTGCATGTATACATTTCTGAAAAGCCAGGTTTTTACTTGAGTCATAACTTTTATGAAGAGGATGTGAACGTGGCCTTTGGAGTGCTTCAGAATGGCAGTATCTAGTGATCTAGACTGGTGTTTAGATTCTCTTTAGAAATATGTTTTCCTTATACAGTACTGCATTTTAAGTTCCTGTACATGTTATATTGAATGTGTACTTTTGTTTGATCTGTTAGTAATGACATATGATCTATTGCGTCTACTGTAAAGTGCTTTGAGTATGTATGTCATATTCTCCTGTCTCTGTTCATACACTGATAATCTTGGCTTCAGCTTTTGTATCTAAAGCAAAATAGTGCCTTCACGGGTTCTATATTCTTTTGCATAACTTCTTTAGTGTGTTGAAATTTGTCCAGTGCTTCTACAAGTTAGCCAAAACCAGTCTGTGTTTTTTCACAGACATTTCATAAAGTAGGTTAGGACTTACTTGGAGGGGGGGGGAACTGCTTTTTAGTTAGTTCCTTTAAGTAGGCAGGTATACACTGGACAAAGATGTTAGACAAATGTTGCTGGTTGCTTGTATTACAAGATAATTTACTTGATACTGAAAGACGGTCTTCTTTCCCCAGCTCCTGCCAGTGGATGGACATCAAACAGTGTTAAATTGCCTGGCACAGCTGCCCCGAGTGAAAAACCTGCAACAGCACCTCAGCTAAATGAGCAAGACACATTGGTTCAGAGGGCAGAGCATATTCCAGCAGGAAAGCGTACTCCTATGTGTGCACACTGTAATCAAGTCATTAGGTTTGTATCTCTGTGCTGGGTATACTCTTTGCTGGGTAAAAAACTATGTGGCCATGCCCAAAGAGTGGTGGTGAATGGAGTTAAAGCCTGTTGATGGCTGGTCACACGTGGTGTTTCCCAGGGCTCAGTGCTGGGGCCAGTTCTGTTCAATATCTTCATCAATGATCTGGATGAGGGGATTGAGCACACCATCGCCAAGTTTGCAGACTACACCAAGTTGGGTGGGAATGTTGATCTGCCTGAAGGTAGAAAGGTGCTACAGAGGGGTCTGGACAGGCTGGATTGATGAGCTGAGACCAATTGTATGAGGCTCAACAATGCAAAATGCTAGGTCCTGCACCTGGGTCACAACAACCCCATGTGACACTACAGGCTATGTCCCATGTTTGCAGTGCACAGAATATGAGAGCCTCCACTGTTTCACCATGGTTAAAGAAATTTGTTTGATTAGAAAACATGAGTTTGAAAAAATGAGTAGCTGTATAAATTTCATTCAGTATAACAGAAAATCAGCCTTTCCTCCATGGTTTTTTTCAGCCTTTTGAGCCCTGGCCTGAACTCTCCATCAGAAGAGACGGCTAACTCAAATTACTTGATCTCTAGGGGTCAGCTGAGTCCAGCTTGTTTACTTCCATTAGATTTCTGTTCTGATAGTTCACTACCAGTTCAGTTAACATTGAGTTAATGTTAGAGAATGCTTTGCTAGCCAGTCTGTGATCTTTTGGAGAATTTTTTCCTACTTCCATTGTATATGTCAAGGAAATAAAAATATGTGACCTGAATCCCTTTGAAGCAGTAGAGAAAACTATGCAAATTCCTGATATAGGTGCAGATTTTTTACTTCACTGCAAAATGGAAGATTAATATCAAAAAGGTCCACACTTTTGGGATGAGATTGATCTGATTTATTGAACAGCTTGGCCTCTGTAAGCATTCTGTCTGTCTGCTATTCTGACCTTTTTGTTCCCTGGGCTTTGGATTTGTGTCTAGTAAATAATATGCAAACAACTATGCACTGTCCTTTTTGTTACTATCACTTCAGTTTAAAATTAAGACTGAACGTAGTAAATACATTACATGCTGAATCTTTCATGCAGGAAGCTTCACTGCCTTTTGCAGTGCCTTTGTGGTTTTAGCAAGGTTTGCTGAAGCTCTGCACTTTGGGGTCTCAAAGCACAGTCAGGAGATTGTTCTTGAGCAGCCAGCCTTTCCTCTCACCTCCTAAATCACTTGCTGCTACTCTCTGCTTTTCCACCTTGATCACCATTAAAAATGAGTTTAGCTGCCAGTAGGGTAGTGTGGAGCAGCTTTTGCTCCTTTGTGTATGCTTGAGGAGAAACTGTGGAGCCCTACTTCGTAGAATTGTGGAATACCAGACTGGAAGGGACCTCAAGGATTATCTGGTCTAACCTTTCTTGGCAAAGCCTGGCCCAGACTAGATGTCCCAGCACCCTGTCCAGCCAAATCTTAAACTTGTCCAGTGTTGGGAAGTCCACCACTTCTGTGGGGAGATTATTCCAGTGGCCGATTGTTCTCACTGTGAAACATTTTCCTCTGGTGTCCAACAAGAATCTCCCTGGGAGTTATTTGTACCCGTTAACGCTCATCTTTTCCACGCGACTCATTGTAAAAAGAGTCTTCTTCATAGCCACCCTTTAAATATTGAAAGTATTAAGTACTTGACAGTACTTAAGCCGTTGTCACCTATGGTAAGTGACACCTCTTCATGAATGGTAACTGATACCCATGTCTAATTTCTTTGTAATCTGCTGGTGGTGTTTAAATGCTTTTATTTTTTCGTATGTTAAATGCCTCTTCAATTATTAGAAGCAAGCATTATTGCATTTGTGGATGAGTTGATGTGCATTAATGCTAAACATGCCTTGTGTTCACAGCATACAGTGGATTTGCAATGGCATTTTGAATTCAAGTATTAGCATGATTACAGTTGATGCCCTTAGGTAATGCTACCACTATGAAAAGGTAGGAAGAGGATGATCAAGCAACATCGCATTGTACATCTGTTTTGGAGCCAAAACGTGTTGTGGAGTTGGTTACTTTACACTCAGGCATAGAATAACCATGGCTGCTCAAGCCAAAACCATTTCTTAGAGACCTCTTATAACTTTTTAATATATCTTTAATTATTCATACAGTGACTGTCTGAAGATTCCAGTTTTTTCCAAAGCTTTGGTACGTAAGCTTTTCTTTCCATGTCTAAACGAATCAAAGCTGGAGGCAAAGAGAATTTCCCATGATCTACTTGCTGTGATGGTCTGATAAACTTCTAACATTTGCTGATGAAGACTTCTGGTTCCCAGGCAGTCTTACCAAGTGCTGCAGTGCAGACTTGGCTCTTTCTTTGAAGTCCAAATGTGTTTTCCCCAAGTCTCCACTGAGAATGTACTTGGTGGCATGTCTGCTTGTGAATGATGAGTTGGCCTTGTCATCTTTTCATACAGCTTAATTGTTTTAAAGGGAAAAAATACAAATGATGCTTCCCTTCAGCATCTTCTATGCAGAAATTATGTATTCTGGCATTCTCAAGTGAGGAGAAAAAGAAACTTCCTGGAGTGTAGACTGCTGTATGGTTAACTGTAAAGTGATTCGCCTACTTAGCAGATGTGGGAATCCTTTTGATCTCTCTAGCACCGAATTTCGGTTCTGGCTTGCTATCATAATAAAAGCCACATGGGAAGCTAAATTATTGACCTACTAACACATCATAATCATACTGATGAAGTTATATTTAGTTACAAGTGTAAAGATAGAGAAATAGTGATTATATTCCCTGTATGTTACTTATTTCTTCCTGTTGGCCCCTGTATCATTTCTGTGTGCGGAACCCAGATGTTTTAGGTGGCTAATCCCAAAACCAACAAGCAAAAAAACCTACTGTTTGCTTCCTTCTGTGAGCTTGGTTCATGTGGTCTAGATGGTAATGCCAGAAATCTGTTCAGAAACACTTGCCATGTCAAAGTAGCCTGGGATAGAGGCACATTCATAGCCAACTTTTGCCTCTTCAATCATCCCATATCTTTGGATGGAAGCAACATGGGTTTTCAGCACCACCTTTATAAAGTATGTTCTAGTTAACAGAGGCATGTGGCATTTTTTATTGTTTTGTTTTGGTTTTAAATGGGGAAGGATGAAGCCATCTGCAGCCATCTTCCTAACATTTCATAGCCTAGCTACTTGCTGTTAGGTTGCATGAGCATGGGCATGCATCCTTCCTACTCAAATCAGGGCTATAAACACCTTTTCAAATGAATACAGCAAATTAATACCTTTCATTACTGGAAGCTATTGTTTCGATCACAAAAATATGCAGAGATCAGAACACCTCCAAGTTCTGAATATCACATTTTAGTGTATTTTATGTGGCAGGTGTTTGGTTTTTTTTTCTTTCTTCCACATGCTTTTGGGGCAGCTTTTAAGTCACTAATATCATTAAGCTGCAACAATGGCTTGACTTATTTAAACTATGGCCTGATTAAAAGCAAAATTGTATTTAGAAAGCCCTCTTCTGGACACGTGTGTGCAGAGAGCCAGCCCACTAATGGAACACCTTGGAGACATTGTGCAGGGCATAGCCACAGCTGTCTGGGGACTTTGGGAAAGAAACTCTGTACATGCACTCTCAGGCTGTTCCCCGTCCGTCTGGGTTCCTGCGTGCTGTCCTGAATAGCTAACCTCAACACGTCAGAGCTGTAAACTCTGGAGGGCTAAATGCAGCAGATGTTGTAAAAATGCCTTCCCCTCCTGTTGCTAGTGTACTTTCTTTCCATTGCGGAGCTAACCGAGCCTATTGTTTCAGTGCAGATGGCCAGAAACTCAATCCTACCTGGAGCCAGGAGAGCCTCTTCAGTGTCAGGCCCGTGTTAATGAATCTGTTAAATTAGCCTGTGCTGACACGGCACACTGAGAGCACTTTGTTGTACATAAGGGCTTGTATTGTTTGATCAGTACATAACTGAAAGGGCATTGATGTAAAAAGGTGCTTGTAGAGCAGTGAGAGGGTATCAGGTTAGGTCAGTGTTTGCACTGCTCAGGCATCCGCTGGGAGTGGGGGCCAGAGAGCTGCGCTCGACCCCAGCTCACTCCTTAAAGGGCTACTAGCTGCTCTCCAGGAGACTTTTCCACTGCTTTTTCTCCTATATCAGAGGTGAATAGAAGAAACTGTTTCAGGTTAAATATGTTCATTATCTCAGAGGGTGAGTTGTCCAAAATCTGCTTGAGTCACGTACCTTTGACTTCTCATCCTGTTGAAAATCCATAGCAGCTCCAGAGAAAATGTAGAAGAGAAATGAAAATAATTGCCCCCTACTCTCAATGAAGCTGCCCTCTGTCCTCTGCCCACTAGAGTCAATATAACCCTGGAAGGAAATTTTAAGGGGTTTTGTTTCTGTTCTATTGGTTTTGCTTTGTTCATATGGTAATCTTACCTTACACAAAAATGTTCTTGTAGCTTACTCAATTTCCAAGGAAATGCTTAGCCAACAGCTTGCTAAGCTGTTGGTACTTGATACTTGGTACTAAGGTACTTGGTGTTAGTACCTTACACTTTTTTTGCAGTGAAGTATTAGATTGAAAAAGAAAAAAAAGATGCATTACTGAAAGAATGTCATCTTTATTGGTCTTGCAAAAGTGGGAAATCTGGTGAGGGAGATGAACTTGAACCACAAAGTTCACCTGAAAACTAGATTTTTGGAAGGTTTGGTATTGGTGGGACCTTGGAGGCATCTCATTAAATATGTTCATTAAAGAAATTAGTATGCTAAGTGTTTTCAGATGAACACAGGTACAGATTTACGAGTTACAAACTGAGAATTATTTGTTGACTGAGAAATAGACAGTTTATCTTGTCTGTTAACCTGTTGCATTAGCCACAAAAATGCTATTAAAGGCATCATTATTTTGTGTTTGCAAATAATAGAGGAGGCTCTGTATTTGGCAAATATGATCCTATTTTAACTATCTTCTGATGGAAGAGAAAGAAAAAACAACTGGGATGTCTTATCCTGTAACAAACTTGTTGGATAAGGACGGTGATTGAATTTTTGTCTCACAAGAAACTGATGTTATCAGCTCTTAATGGAGGCAAGTCTACATACATTTGTGGGCTTGATACAAATGGATGCTGAAAGAGAGTTGATCATATCGCTCTGTCAAATAATCTCTGCAATAGATGGAAGTAATTGGGAACACAGGAAACATCCTTCTTGTTCTCCTTTTCCCTAGCAGCCACTACAGCACTGTATTTAATGTAGTTTTAAAATAAGATTTCTGACATGCAATGAAGCAAAGAGAATTAGTATTTATTGTGGTCAGGTGTTTCTGGGAGACGGTTCAATGGGAATAAATACAGTCAACACTTGATGCTTTCTCAGAG